GCATCCAGAGCATCCTTGCCCACGACAAGGGGACCAATAGCTGTGCTTTGTTCTCTCCCTGGCAAGGGTTGGCTGGGATGCGTGTTCTAGCGCGGTGCTCGTCAGTGATCTTGGGCACTTGTTTGGTATGCAGCGTCTTCCTCCTCGGTCCATTCTTGAGCTCGTTCGGCAAGGTATCGAGCGATGGCAAGCTCGACGGATGATCGAGCACCATCGAGATTTCTGCGTGGGAGGGGGGCTAATATGGACCAGGCTATGGAGGAAATGTGTGGGAGGAGGGAATGCAGCAGTTAAGCGTCCTCGTGTTGCTGGTGCTCTGCGCTCTCTGTGGTCAGGTGCGATATGGTCACGAGACCAAGTTGCTCGCGCTGGCTATTGAATTTCTCCTGCATGCTACTGGTGCTCAGCTGACAAAGCAACAATCGGCCACGAGTTTTACCAGTGCCCTGGGTTCCTTTGCGACATATCTGAGGATCCTGATTTAGACTGGGACCGTGATCTAGAACAGGTGTGCTCTTATCTTCATGGCAAGGGTCAGCCAGGAGGAGGCCAGGCATATTATGATTACTTTGAGACCTCTGTGGGAATGCCCCTTAGTCCTTTGGTTCCACCGCGTGTTGATGATAAGCTGAAGATTGAGTTCTGGGGAGACTGGGATTCGGATAAGCTGTCTTGGGCGAGTACTGTATATGCGGATGGATCTGGGATGGCCCCGGGTTGGCCAGAACTCCGGCGATGTGGGTGGTCTGCAGTGCAGTTCGGGGACAATGGGATGCCGATTAGAGCTGTCTTGGGCCCTTGTGGGGGCCAATCCAGACTGTTGGGCGTGCGGAGAGGTTTGCAGTGCTCCAGGCCTTGACCTATTTCCCGGGAATATCTTTGATTGTCTCGGACCTGCTCGGACTGGTCCAATAAGGGCAACAATGGCTGCCTGAATTCACAGATGCGCAGGCGCCGTGTGCAGATACTTGGCGCTTGATTCAGTACCGCTGCTCGGCGAGTGTCGCCAGGCCGCAGCTTTCGTGGTGCCCATCGCACCTAACAGTCGAGCGGTGCATTGAAGATGCTGCTAGGCAAAATGTCCCCTAGGAGCTTGTGCTTGGCAACGTGTGTGCGGATTACTTCGCCAAGAAAGGTGCAGTGATCCATGCGCTGCCAGAGGTGATAGTCAAGCTGTGCGAGGCTCGGCTCCACGACGCACGCATGCAGGCGAAGTATTTCTCTTGGGCAGCGGCCAAGATGGCAACGCGGGATTCAGTGAGTGGGCGACCTGAACATCTCCTGAGGACATCTACTAGGAAGGTTCCGTCGGTAGCGCTCACGCATCATTGTATGGTAGTTAGGGCCCCCGGGTTTTTCCAATGCGGGGTCTGCTTAGCGGTTGCCCGTGCGCAGGCCAGTCTTGGGAAGCTCTTGGGAACGCTATGTAACCCGTCGGCCCAAGAGAGGCTGAAGGCGCGAGCGGGTCAGGAGCTACAGACTGCCCCCCCTGATGAGGTCTCACGCTGCGAAGGCCGCCCTATTGGGTGCCGCGGCTTTTGAAGGTGTAGATTTGCCACAGGACCAATGGCCTCACGAGGCCCCTGGGGGCCTTGCGCCTGCCGTGGAAATCGTTGAGCTCCAGGGCTATCGTGTCTTGGTGCTCCCGCGGGCCATGGTGTGTACCCAGTGCGGCTCCTATCAGGTGTCCAGTGGCAAAGTTGCGAATTGCAGATTGCAGGATCGCTGCTTGGGGCCGTCGGAGCACGGGCAGACCAGATATAAACAGACATCTATTATATCTGCTATCAAGGCTGGTCGCCATCCTAAGTCGGGCAAGTCTTTAAGACCCGACTAATCTCGTATGATCGGCCCGTGCTCCCGTCCCTCGGTTGCACGACCAGGCCTGACGCTGGTCCTCCTCCTCCTCCTGCTCCTCCTCCTCCTCCTCCTCCTCCTCCTCCTCCTCCCCCTCCTCGCATCCTCGCTCCTCCCCCCTTCCCCTCCGTTCCCTCCTCGCCGCATTTCCTCTTCTATCCCTTTTCCTTCTATGAAGTCCTCCCTGCCGCACCCCCAGGTGTGTCAGTAGGGCGGGTCGGGCGTTTCGCTTAAAATCTGCAACAGTTTCACGGATGGGGGGGGTCAAACTATGGTTCCCGCCCTAGTGCCGTGCACATTCGTTTTCAAAGTTCGCTGCAGATTCAATGATGGGACGGGTGTGTGTGTTTTAGAATATTGTTATCGCCTTCGTGCCGCGCGCGTTTGCCCGAACGTTTACAATATTTTAGCGGATGGAGGGGGGCTCGTTTTCAAAATGTGGTTGTCACCATAGTACCGCGCATATTCGTTCAATTGTTTGCAAGCGTCTCACGGATGAATGGGGGACGTGTTTAAAATGTTGTTCTCGCTTGTAAGAGCACACGTCTAATTGTGAACACTGCACGAGGTTCACGCGGACGGAGGGTGGTTCTTTTTCAAAGTCGTGTTCTTGCTTCAGCGCCGCGCAGCTAGCAAAATGCAGGGCCGCTCTTTGTCAACATGCAGCTCTCGCTTGAGACTTCATTTCGTTTAGGGCCCGAGTCCTTAACGCACGTAGCATTGAATTGATCCATAGCGGCTTTTCTCAATGTTGAGCTGTCGTTTGAAATTTCCTCGAAGCTCATGACCACAAAGGTGAACTTGCGCAATAGTTGTTGGGACAGGAGTGCTGTCCTTCTTCGAACGGTACCTTGCTGGACACCTCGTTGAGCTGTATGGTCATTGTTTATGACTTCCCTGACTACAGTCAACCCGCATAATAAGGATAGGCAACCTTCCCAAGGGTACCCTTGCATCCTTGCCCCTTCGGCCCACCCTTAGCGACGTTCGCAGGCCAGCCTCGTGCGAAAAACGCGAGCATGGCCCCCAAAAGCCCTTGCATCCTTACCGCGCATCCTTATGATACAAATTGAGTGTACAGTGCCGTTTTTAATACATGCTCCGCGTGTGGATCATCTATTAAACATGCACGGATCTATGATTCAAAACAACGATGAGTTCATGCATCAACTTATTCATACATTATTCATGTATCATTTTTTATATATATAAAAAACCTATGTATTAAACATTGCCGTGTACGCGCCAGGGAGATGCACGGCAGGCCATTCTCAGAGCTGGGCCCTCGCCAAGAGCATGGCAGGCCCAACCGAGCCGGTCCCTCAAGAGGGGCGCTTTCTGCAGTGAATGGGGAGGGCCTGCGTGGGGCAGGCGAGGAGGGGGCCTCGGGACGGAATGGTGCACTGCAGCATCCCTGCCCAGACCCCCTCGAGCTGCGGCAAACATCACGAGGAGGAGGAGGAACAGGAGGCGGAGGAGGAGCAGGAGGCGGAGGAGGAGGAGGAGGAGGAGGAGGAGGAGGAGGAGGAGGAGGAGGAGGGCGCCATCGACAGGGAAGGTGAGGGCCATCAGGTCCGCCGGCTCGACGCCCGCGTTGTTTTTCGCTATCTTCGGCCTCGCGACAAAAATCACGACGGGGGGGGCCCTCGCCGGGCCTCGGGGCCGTCAATAACCACCCAGGACGAGAAACTGGTCCCGGGGAAGGGGTCTGGACCTCTGGGGGTCGACGTTGTGAAGAAGTCCCGACGTCGGGTGTCTGGGTGTGCCTCTCTGCTCGGCGCTGGCCCTCCTCCTCGCCCGCCCGCGCGCGCCCGCCCAGGGCCCGCCCCCTCCCCCGCCCTCGCGTGGCCGAAACACATATCCGTATATGCGAGGCCTCGCAGGCCAGGCTCCTGGGCCGCGACTCCGCGGATAGGGGGAGGAGGAGGAGGAGGAGGAGGAGGAGGAGGAGGAGGAGGAGGAGGAGGAGGAGGCGGAGCAGGAGGAGGAGGAGGAGGAGGCGGAGGAGGAAGAGGAGGAGGAGGCGGAGAAGGAGGAGGAGGCGGAGGAGGAGAAGGAGGAGGAAGAAGAGGAAGAAGAGGAAGAAGAGGAATAATAATACGAATAATAGTAATGCGATTATTCGAAAAGAAGTAATGAGACGAATAATAAGACACATGATAATAATACTAAGACTAAGACTAAGAGTCATATTATGAACAACGTAACAATAAGGACACGACTACTAATAATACTAAGAGGAATACTACGAAGAGGAATATTATTATTACTACTAGTAATATTAAGAAGAATAATGAGAAGAAACATAATACACATAAGACGAATAAGGAACCGAAACATACTAATACTAATACGAATAATAATACGATTAACAATAGTACGACTAAGACGGATAGTTCGAGTACTACTAGTATGCAGAATAAGAAATAATAACAATATTAAGGCTACGATGAATACTACTACTCATACTAGTACGAGTAACAATACGAATACGGATACAACTAATACTATCAGTAATACGAATAAGAATAAGAAGAAGAATAATACTACTAAGAAATATAAGACGAGCAATAAACGAACATACTACGAGTACTACTAATAATAATACGGGTACTACTAAGAACAATAAGAACATACATACAACGAACAACACGAGCAGTTAAAACAATACTACTACTGCTACGACGAATAAGACTAATCATCATAAGTTGAATCATAAAACTTAATATCACTATTATTATTAGTATGATTATGACTAATTATAGTAATACTACGAATAATAATACGATTTAATATGAACAAGAATATTACGACTACTACTACTACTACTACTAATAATAATAATAATAATACTAATGATACGAATACTAATCATACTACTACTAATAATGAGTAACCATAATAATAGAAATATCAAGAAACAAATAAGAGGAGGAGGAGGAGGAGGAGGAGGAGGAGGAGGAGGAGGAGGAGAGGAGGAGGAGGAAGAGGAGGAGGAGGAGGAGGAGGAGGCAGAGGAGGCAGAGGAGCCGTGCGGCCGCGTGTCACCGCGGCACCGCGCCCCGGACGCCAGCCCGCGAGGGCGTGTGGACCGGGAGGCGCGCGCCGCTCGTGGCGGCCGCCTCCCCCCCCCGGCCCTGCAGGCCCACTACATGTCAAAGCTCACGGGGCACCAGCAGGATGGGGGGCCCAAAAATATACACCACCACCACTTTCCTCACCCCCTCCCTCTCCCAGGATAGAGGAAAGGAAGAGGAGGGTAGAGGAGAGAGGAGGAATCGACGTGGTGGTGGTGTATATTATTTGAGTCCCCGCAGGAGGTCTGCGGCCTCCGGTGGTCCTACGACGAGCAGCAGCTGGCGTCGGGGGGCAACGACAACAAAGTATCCCCAGCGCCGCCGCGCACGCATCCCGCCGGGAGCGGCCGCGGGGGCGCCCCTCGGAGACGGCCTCGCCCCGGGCGCGCTCTTCGTCTCTGGCGGGAGGCCCGCGGAGTTCTGCGGCTCAGAGGGGGACGAGGTGCCGGCACCGCCGCTACCCCGGCCTCGTCTTCAGAAGTTTTCGAGGCCCAGGGTGGTTGCCATCCACTGCGCCTCGTCGAGGGCGTTCTCTTGGGGGACAGGCTCGTCCCGAGCGGCCGCTGGCGAACCGAATGATGACATGATGACCAGAAAATTTCAGGGACAACGTTCGGGGGCGCGGTACCCACGCCGCTACCCACCCTTCCCTCGTCTTGGCCTTTTTGGGCCTCCTGGGAGGCAGGCCCTCGTCGCCGCGGCTGGATTTGATTCGAAAGGCTGGTCAGGACGCACTCTGGGAGAGGCCTGGGGGCTGGCGGTATCGGTATCTTTCTGTCCCCACAGGCTGCGCGTGCGGAAGCCGGCGGCGGTGGAAGTACGCCTCGACGGATCCTTCGTTTTGCGTGCGCTCAGTGGGCGTGCGGGGTCGCAGGTCCCCGCTGGACCGCCACCTTTGTACATGCAGCCATGGCGATTTCGTCTGGCCTTCTAGTATTTGGCCACGCGCAGGGGAGGATAGGGGAAGGGGGTCAGGTCCTTAGAAGCACCCCTGCTTCTTACAAGGCGCGGTGCTTGTCTTAGAGGCGGCGCCTTCTAAGAAGCCGCCTCCTTCGAAGAAGCCTTCCCACCTCTCCCCTATCCCCCTGCGCGCGCATCCAGAGTACGGCATGCCCTGGGACCATCAGCAAAAACGAGTCAGGATGAAATGCCCACCCAGGGGTCCAGACCACTCGGTGTCCACCTGGTGGTGAGAAAGAACGCGACGTTGGAACCCTCCGCGACGTCGCAATGCTCAAACAATTCGGAGGACGTGTGCGATGCTCAAACAGTTTGGAGGACGTGTTAATGGTCCGCCTCGTCGGTCCTTGTCGGGCCCATCCTGTCCCAGGATCGGCGCATGTCCGCCCTCTCCTGTCCTGGCCAGGAAGGCAGCTTGGGCGCTCCGAAAACAAGCCTTCCCTTTGAGGGTCGAAGGAGTTGGGATCCTTTTCCTAACCTCATGCCCCGGATAATAAAGCATCCCCCCTTTAAGACCTGAGTGTTGATTATCTCCGGCAAGTGCAGTTTATGTCGACGGTTTGGAGCGGCGGGGCCGATCTTCATTATCACAAGGGAAAGTACGGATCGTATTAGGATCTTCCGAACGCATCATCGCCATCATGAGCATCACCATGATGATTATCGTCATTATCAAAAACTATTACTGCTACTGTCACCACTACTACTACTGCTACTGCGACTACTTCTACTACTACATCTACAACAACAACTACTACTAACTTCTCACCGCTACTACGACGACTACTACTACTACTACTACTATTACTACTACTATTACTACTACTACTACTACTACTATTACTACTACTACTACTACTACTACTCCGACTACGACGGCGTCGACTACTACTAATCATACGATTGATATCACTACTACTTTTAGTACTACTACGGCTATTACTACTACGACTACTACCATGATTACTGCTACCCCTTTAGCGACAAGTATAACAGCGACTACTACTACTACTACTACTACTACGACGGCTACTACTACTACTCATACTATTACTATCACTAGTACCACTACTCGTATGTTTAATACTACTGTTGCGACTACCACCAGTATTACAAGTACAAGTACAACCACAAGTACTATTACTGCTACTATTACTACTACTACTACTACTACTACTACTACTACTATTTCTACTGCTACTACTAGTGCGACTACTATTACTACTACTACTACTACAACTATTACTATTGTTACTATTACTATTGCTACTATTACTACTACGAATACTTCTTCTACTACGACGACGACTACTACTACTACTACTACTACGACTACGACTACGATTACGCCTACGACTACTATTATTATTACTGCTACTACTACTACTACTACTACGACTGCTGCTACTACTACTGCCACCACTATTTCTTTTACTTCTACTACGACTACGACTACGACTACTACTAGTACTACTACCATCAGTACTCGCATTACTACTACTACTACTACCACTACTACTACTACTACTACTACTACTACTACTACTACTACTACTACTACTACTACTACTACTACTACTGCTACTGCTACTGCTACTACTCCACCATCAGTACTAATACGACTACGACTACTACCTTCCCTCTTCCCTGCGGGCATTTTTTATCTCCAGGGGATACGATCGCCGGAAAATTCGCGAGATGACCCCCCATGAAGATTTTAATACCTTTTTACCTAACAGCGAAGACTGATAGGTTTCTAGTTGACTCAAAAGAGCTCACAGATCACTCCACAGGGGGGTCCGGGCAGGTGTTGGGGCGTTTCCGGGCGGCATGAGCCGGGCTCGTTTTTCACCAACAGTCACACACTTCGTGCTCTTCGCCTTCCCAGAACTCCATTCCCAGGCCACATTCTGGGGGGCCGGATGCAACAGTCACACACAAAGTGCTCTTCGACATCCCAGAACGCCATTCCCGGGCCACATTCTGGGGGGCCGGATGCAACAGTCACACACTTCGTGCTCTTCGAGTTCCCAGAACGCCATTCCCGGGCCACATTTTGGATGCCCGGAGCCAACTGTAGGCCACTTCGTGCTCTTCGATTCCCAGAACTCCATTCCCGGGCCACATTTTGAATGCCCGGAGCCAACTGTAGGCCACTTCGTGCTCTTCGAGTTCCCAGAACTCCATTCCCGGGCCACATTTTGAATGCCCGGAGCCAACTGTAGGCCACTTCGTGCTCTTCGAGTTCCCAGAACTCCATTCCCGGGCCACATTTTGGATGCCCGGAGCCAACTGTAGGCCACTTCGTGCTCTTCGAGTTCCCAGAACTCCATTCCAGGGCCACATTTTGGATGCCCGGAGCCAACTGTAGGCCACTTCGTGCCTTCGATTCCCAGAACTCCATTCCCGGGCCACATTTTGAATACCCGGAGCCAACTGTAGGCCACTTCGTGGTCTTCGAGTCCCCAAAACTCCACTCCCGGGCCACATTTTGAATGCCCGGAGCCAACTGTAGGCCACTTCGTGCTCTTCGAGTTCCCAGAACTCCATTCCCGGGCCACATTTTGAATGCCCGTAGCTAACTGTAGGCAACTTCGTGCTTTTCGACTTCCCAGAACTCCCATTCCTGGGCCACATTTTCAGCAGGGGCAAGAGCACGACGAGGAGGAGGACGAGCAAGACCAGGAGGACGAGGACGAGCAGGAGCAGGACGAGGAGCATGAGGAGCAGGAGAAGAAGGACGAGCAGGAGGAGGAGGAGGACGAGCAGGAGGAGGAGGACGACCAGGAGGAGGAGGACGACCAGGAAGAGGAGGAGGAGGAGGAGGGGAGGGGGAGGAGTACCAGGAGGAGGAGGAGGAGGAGGAGGAGGAGGAGGAGGAGGAGGAGGAGGAGGAGGAGGAGGAGGAGGAAAAAGGGGAGGATGAGGAGGATGAGGAGGATGAGGAGGAGGAGGAGGAGGAGGAGGAGGAGGAGGAGAAGGGACGAAGAGGGAGGAGGAGGAACGAGGAC